CGTGGCACTTGGGAACACAGGTTAGTGGTGAACACAGCAACGGGGGAATGGCTGGACTTGAACTTAGAGGGCTTTTCCAACCTAAATGACTCCGTGATTCTAAGAAACTTGAAACCCTAAAAACATGTCTACAGGTCAAAAAATACCCCACGGGTCCCTGCCAAATGTCCCCTGCGCAGGGGAACTCCTGAGTCCAGTTCTGGTGAACTTTCCTCCACGAGTTTGCGAGCGGCACGTGTCAGCCAGGCAGCTGAGGGACAACTTGGCAGGAGCTGCAGTGGACACACCTGGAGCCAGCCTATCTCCCCAGCTGGGGCAGCCTCCTCCCACAAAGTTTATAGTACAAGTGCATGAAAAGCTGATCAATCCAGCACCAGGAAGGCGCGGCCCCAGGGCAGGCAGAGCAAAACCACTGGTGTTAGTCAGAAATACATGGAGCCCTCACAGCACCTTCCAGTGCCTGAAGGGCTACAGGGAAGGGAGAGGGGGATTCTTCATGAAGAGCTGGAGGGAAAGGACAAGGGGGAATGGCTTCCCACTGCCAGAGGGCAGTGTTAGGTGTGATATTGGGAGGAATGTTCCCTGAAAGGGGGGTGAGGCCCTGGCACAGGTGGCCCAGGGAAGCTGTGGCTGCCACCCTGGAAGTGTCCAAGGCCAGGCTGAACGAAGCTCTGAGCAACCTGGGCTAGTGGAAGGGCTGCAGAATGGGATGAGCTTTAAGGTCTCTTCCAATGCAAACCAGTCTGGGATTTTATGAAACAGTGACTGCAAACACTGACGTTGAGCTGTCAGTCAGTGGGGAAGGCCGGACGGTGCTGGGTCTTCCTGATGAATATTGTTGAATATTCATGTTCTAAGCAGCCTCTGCCCACAGGGAGATAATGCCTGTCTCACAGCTGGCAGGGCTGATTTTCCCAAGTGACACCCAGGGTGACACAGTGCCCCACCCTGCTACCACTGCCCCACCCTGATAGAAGGGAGGGCTGGGGCTGCCCAGGGCCTGTCACACCACGTCCTTGTTGTTTTGGGGGTGGTGCCATCAGCCCATCACAGCCTGTCAGTGTCTGTGTTGTCCAGCAAATGCCTAGGGACAACAATCTGACTGCAGCAGGACGAATCCTCTGGTAGTCAGGGAGTAATACCATTGTAATCAGTGACAGAATCTATCTGGGAAGGACACACACTTCCCTTTCCTGGCTGGGATCACTCCCACAGAAAATCTTACTTAGAGGACCAAGCACAAACACCACCCAAATCGATGTGAAGATTTGTTCAACTCCCAAGTTATGTCAGACACTAAATTATTAAATAATAGCCGGATGAATCACTTGGGAACGAACATAGCGTTCCTCTTGCATCGTCTACTTTATATTTGTCTGGACCTCGTGTTTATTTTAGTCCCCAACAGTGTTTGTTTGAAGGGCACTAACAGAGGGAACTTGTGGCCGTGCCCCAGTGAAGCTGCAGAAATGAAAGAGCCACCCCAGACAGTGACTGTTTCTAGGAAGCCAGAACACTCCTCACGCAGAGGGGATGCGGCTTCAGCTCCGGCAGCCGCTTCACCGGCTGACTGTGAACGTTGCCAAAGCGAAAATTGGCTTTATTTTGCCTCTCCTTGGCAGGTTGAGGTGTGAAGTGGGAGCCAGCTGCATTCCAGCACCAGGGAAATGCAGACCTGCCCCTTTACAGCCCTGTGCCAGCACCTCATGTGTGGGAGCTAAGGTCGAACCGGAGCGACTGGAATTGCACTCCTGCCCTTCGGCCTTCTGTTTGCAAAAGGGGTTGATGCCCCGGTTTTTTCAGTGTTTCTCCTTTTCCAGCCAAGAGACTCTGCACTACAACAGCACCAGAGCAGGGGGATTCGTGGTGGGGACTGCAGCTCAGGTTTTGGGTGGTATTTCTGGTGTAGGATTTGAATGTGGGTACAGGACAGGGATTAAATCCGGCAGAAACTGGAAAGTTTGTCAAATGTTCAGACACTGAGGATCTTTGTGTCAGGAGACATTGGGGGCATCTCAAGGTGATGAGATAATGGCAGATGAAAGTAAAACTAGAAGCTGAAAAGAGGTGATAACAGCAGAAAAAGGCTGCACAACTGCTCAGGCACTGGTCACGTCCAGAGGTGGGTTCTGCTGGCAGGTCCCCACGAAGAAGTTCAGAGATGATAACCTGTAACCTGCTCCAGGGCTGGTGCACAACATCTACAGGCACTGTGTGGTTCTCTCTGATCTCCTCTGACTTCAAACAAAAGAAAATGCAAAGGCACAGAAAGGATGAAACACAAGGATCTTCGATCAGTAACGTGTTTTAGTTCCTGGTATGGCTGGAGGACAAGAAGAGCAGAGCTCCACAACCAGGTCGGGTTTGGAGGAAGAGGGGGGGATAACACTGCACACCTGCTTGTCCAAGAAAAAAAAATAAAAGCTACTACACTCGGCTCTGGACTTCTAAAGTTCTTTTCTGCTCTTTTAGCAAGGAGGCAAATCAGTTTAATAGAGGAGAAAGCAGAAATTGCCAGACTCCCCCTCTAAACTGGGCTTTGGCTGCAACTCTTCCCAAGGCTCAATTTTGACATTAGCACTGAATATGATTACACTGGCTTCCTTCAGCTTTCTGAAGAGGGTCACTTGTAGCCCAAAACCTGGTGAATTTGAGTGGAACAGACAAAAACTAATGTTGCAAGTACTTCACTTTGTTTTTCAGGGAAATTTTTTACCTTGTTTTTCTAACACTGTCTGTCAGCACTGCTTTTCTCCAGTTTCCTGTCACAACTACCACGTGGATGTGGACATGTCATCCTGCACACTGAACTGCAGCAGCTCTCCAGAGTAGCTGAAACACAGTTTTTTTAACCAAAAGCACTGTCATTATTGGGGAGGGCCACAACTCCTCACCCAAACACGACCCCGCCCAAAGGTCAGTGGAACAAATCGCAACAAAACCAGGAACATCCTTAACCTCTCCCTTTTCTAAGTGCAAGGCACATTCTTAACATGATCTTCTGTCATAAATAAGGAGCAGCATGGACATAAAAAGAAAAAAACAAGATCCTTTTCTTCCCAAACCCATTTGCACACAATGATCTCCCCGGGGACAGTGTGAGAAAAGAACCTCTGGGATGTGCTCAGGCACTGCTGAGGAGCCTGAGAGAACTCAGGATTAACCCCAGGATGCTCCTGCCTGAAGCTGGGGCAGCTAAGCCTCTCCTCTAATTAGAAACACAGCTGAGATCACTGTCAACACCGTGAAATAGGACACAGACAACTTGGAAGGTGTCAGGCAGCAGTGAGTGACCCACCACCCCTGGGGTCTTCGGAGCAGGGCTGTGGCTGAGGATGGGGTGCTGTCAAGGAGCCTTGGATAGTGTCCCTCTGTCCTCTCCTGGCCAGGACACACTGCTTGGTGGCTTTTCCTGGTTTCAGAATCTCTGGGGAGAGGCAAGGGCTGTCCCTGGTCTTACAACACCAACACTTCCTTGTACATTTAATTTCAGAGAATTAAACACAAGCCACAAGGCTCTACCTGTAAATCACACTCCCAGGCCGGTCACTCCCTCACAGAAAGGAATGGGAAGCCTGAAATCCATGAATGTGTTGCTGCATAAAAAATAACTCTTGCTAATTACACCCTGGGGGAAGGGCTGATCAGTCAGCATTTTTACATATTTATATATTTCCCATCTTTCTCTAGAAGCTCCTTACTTTGTTTCCCTTCAATCCCCCCCATTATATAAAACCAGCACAGTTCTGATCAAAGAGGCAACTTCCTTATTCAGCTGAGGAGTAAAATAGCCAGAAACCCGAAGCTGAAATACTTCCAGTTCCGCAGACTCTGTTGGGTATGAAAACCACAACCTGCTTCCCCGCTGGCACTTCAGATTTCTCTCCCTGCAGCAGCTGAAACAACTGAAGGCTCCCTGTCCCCCCACGTAACCACAGGAGGAACAGCCGTGAGACACCACAAGCTGTGACCCTTCCACACATCAGACACTGCCAGAAGCACGTAGGGAAAGGGAACAGAGCTGTGCACGCCCCTGGGCAGCGCCAGCACAGCCGGGATGTGGCACTTGGGGAGCAAACGCGGCCCAGCCCCGGCGCGGAGGAGCCGCCCGGGCCGGGCCCGCCCTGACCTCTGCCGGGGGCCTGCAGCAGTGCACGGCCCGGGCCGGCTCCACCCGCTGCTCCCTCACCCTCCGCGGGGAAACAGGGTCCTCCTCATGGAAAAGAGGGTCAGGGAAGAGCCAGGGAACCTGCCTCTGCTTTCCCAGCTCACCTGCATTTCAGTGACACACCGCAGCACACAGCATTAACTGCTCAGGAGAATCACTCGTTTAGGTTAGAAAAGACCTTTAAGATCAAGCCCAAACACAAATAGTACTGAGTAATTAAAAAATCACTCAATCCAGACACTGAACTCAGCAGCCAAGGGGGCAGCACCAGCAGGTCCTTCCTTTACAGCTTCACCATCACCTTGTCCTTGCCTGGACAGCACCAGTGAAAGAAATTCCATCATCAGACTGTTCAGTGTGAGGGATTTAATATCTAAACCACACAACTGACCCAATGGAGCACATCTTCTCTTGGATACAGGACCAAGGGAACAGGGCACTGTGGGACATCCACTTGCTCTCCAGTCGTGCCACAGTTTTACAGGGAGTGAATCTTCATGCAAAGCTCTGGTTTCCAGACCAGTAATTCCCAAACTGAGAAAGGAAGAACACCTTCAATGCTGTGCCCAACCCACACCCAAGATGCAAAGCCAGTGAACCCTTGCATCTCTAGGTGGTTTTCCAAGGAAGCATTATGGGGATCCCTGTTGGGCAAGAAGTGCCATCAGCTCCTGAATCCACCCTGGCTGAAGGGACTGGATTCCCGTGGAATTCCCCGAGGAGCAGAGGTGAGCAGAGACCTGCAGGTACAGCCCTGTTGGACAGTTCAGGTGAGCTATATACAGCCAGGTGTGGTGACTGTCAGTCAGGTACGAGTTAAATACCGAACAACGAGTTGTAACCAAAACTTTAATCCCAAGGATCTCACAAAAGACATTTTACAAGTGACATGAAAAGTCTTGTACAGTAAAGAAATGTTTTACTCCTAAAGTTTACAATGTACCATTAGACACTTAACACATCCACTCCAGGTGTCAGTTCTGCTTGTGGATTTGGTCTATTCAGAGGTTCTGGAATAGATGGTCAATCAACAACCGGCTAATTAAGGACTCTACTCACACCAAGTACAAAATTAACTGATCCTACAGCTAAAAATTTGTAATTCATGGAATATAAAGCAGCTCAGTTCCAAGTAATGCAGTCAGAACTGGAGCTGGATGAAACTGCAGCCCAGCCCTTCCCTCCCCGTGCCACTGGCTCGCTGCTCTGACTCTTCCCTGCAACTGGGCTATGGAGCACCCACATCCTGCTCTGCTCCAGGCCACAATTCCACAAGGAACACACCATCCCAGCACACTCCCTTGAGAGCTGAGCCCCAGCAAACCCCCCCAGCTACGGACACAGACCATTTACCATTCCACACACACACAAACCATGTCTGATGGTACATTGGAAAACCATTAATAATACAAATCATAGGATCTGCTCAGAACCATATACAGATTCACATCTTTACATTTGCCACCTGTTACAAGATACAAGGAACAAAGCAAGTTCAACAGCTAAAACATTTTAAAAATGCACCAAGCTTTATGAAGTTTCGAAACAAAACAATGTTCTGTACATACTCCTGGCCTCGGATCTCCTGACTTCCTGTACACAGCTCCTTCCCACAGTCCTATTTCCTCTCATTTGACCTGGAGCGACTGCAGGACAACAGACAGGTTAGGTTTGGTTAAATCCAAGGTGCCAAGAGCAGCAGATTTTCCTTTAAAACCCCCAGCCCCGATCAGCAGATATTAAAGCATTTAAAAGATACTGTTCATTTAATAAAACTGAGTATTTAATTCTTCAAGGTGAAGAACCTTGTAAGATACTAGAGGTATTTCTCCACCACCACCTTTATCAGTATTGCCAAGGCACAGAAAGTCATTTTTACATCTTTACTCAGAACACAAGTACTGGAAGACTCTTCTTACCTGCGAGACCTGGAAAAGGAGCGAGAAGGCTTGTGGTTCCTCTCCCGTGAGAGCGATCTCTCTCTTCTTCTGTCTCTGGAGAGGGACCTGGTACAGATCACACCACCAGATGATCAGAGCAAAGCTCAATTAGGCCAACAAGGCTCCTGAAGCTTCCCTTCAGGAGTGAAGTTTTTGAACTATTCAACCAGAGGAAACCTGTTGCAGATGCCATTAACCTTCCCTTTAGGGAAGAAGGATCAGCTTGAGCCAACAGCTTATGCTGTGCTGTGCACAGGCACCTAGTCCTTTGCAGCAGGTTTTTTTGCAGAATCCAACCTCATCACTGTCCTGATTTATGGCTGATTCAATCCTGAAGGTCTTTTCCCACCCAAATGGTTCTATGATTCTACACTTCTGGCAAAGAGTAGCACATTAACACAAAGTCTGTGGAAAAACTGGCAGAAACCCACAGGGCAGCTGCGGAATGGAAAATACTTCTATTCTTAATATCCTTCCACTGCTAACTCTGGAATCTCAAACAGCTGAGTAATTCCAGGCAAAGAACATGGCAGAAGCAAACCCATTTCCTTTTAACCAAACTACGGTCTGATTGCGCACAGCACACGGGGCTGTTTTGGGCTGTTCCTTTTCACACCTCCGGGCCAGAGCAGTCGGTGGGGTAAGGAAGGGATTCGTACCTGCTGCGGCTCCGGGAGAAGCTTCTCCTTCGTGGTGATCTAAAACCAGAAAACCAGATGTGAGGCACTTTATCCATTCTTTGAGCATTAACGGGGTGAGGCATTTCCCAACTTGTCAAACTCACTGTTGGGCCCAGGGAACGTGCCAAGAATAACTGGCATCCATCATCCAGTAAAAGGCATGGAAAGATTAGGCAGTAAAACCAAGCTCAGTGTGAACAGCACGTTTCCAACCACGAATTCACTTTAACTAAGAATGCGTCAGAGCAGAGTTGTCCAATGCAACACTTTCCATTTCAACTAAATACACTGCCCAGAACACCACACCAAAGTCCCACAAGTGGTTCCAAAAAAAAAAAAAAAAAAAAAAAAAAAATAGCACAGAGCAAATGTTTTGGAACCCATGCAAGCCAAAAAGGTCCGTAACAAGGCATAAGAGATATCAAGTGGGAAAAAAAAGTGAAAATGCGCTCAGTGTCAATTTGATAATGCCATTAAGTGCTACATTAGAACTGCATATTTGTGATTGTCATTTTTAATGCCATCGAGTGTGTTTAGACTATTTTCTTATAAAAAAATTAAAAAATTAAAAATATAACCTTAGCTCGGCCCAGTTCATCCCAAAAAGTAATTGTTTTAAGTTTTGAAAACTGTTAGTAAAACCATTTAAAGGTGATAGGATTTTTCTGGCAAGGAAAAGCTACATTAGTTAGAGTTTTATTAAAAATTTAGTTTGGCATCTCACATGCAAATATCCTGGTTTTTACGTTATTCACAGTGTAAGAGCTTCCATATCACCCTTAAAAGTTTTCTCAAGCAACATATGTACGTTACCACTCAATTATGCACAGCCAGCCTTTGATTGAGAAAAGTAATTACTTATAAGCCGCTTACTCCTTATTTTAACCAGCAGTAAACTGTATAAGCAGGAAAAACTTACAAGTCTTTGGTTTCAACAAGCTAGAAATGGTGAGGTGAGGCTGCCGGACTGACTGCCAAGAAGAATTTGCTGAAAAGGTTTTGCCAGATGTTGCGTTGTATTTAGTTGGTTGGCGAAGGGGGTGTTGTGGATTTTTCCTGCTTTTTTGTTAGCCGAAGGCTGCTGCTGTAGTTGTTGTGAAGACATTTGGTAAATAAACAGCTGAGCTGATTGGCCGGGAATGTGTGGGCGGTCGAGGTGGCTGCTGCCGATTTGGTTAAGGTTGGAGAGAAGGCTGAGAGAAAACAGCATGCTCGGGAACCAAAGGGCGGTGCAACCTGACGACTGGCCATGCCTGGGTCATGTGAAACGACACCAGCCAAGCTGCATGGGGCGCGCTGGTCACATGACGCTGAAAGGGCTAGTTGGCTGGCTAATGCAGACTCAGAGGGTGGTGAGAAGAGACATGATGGTGACTCTGTAACGGGTTCATTTTTATTAATAGATGGACCAAAAAGCATAAAAAAAATGAAAAACAAGCCATCAGTACAACCATCTATTAGCTAACAATACTCCTAATGTGTTATTTTTTTTTTCTTTTTTCTCTTTTCAACAGCAAAAGGGTAAGCTTGAAAACCCTGACTCGGGAGGACTTCACTCACCTGCCACAGGTAAATTCAGTCCTGTAAAAACCACGCTGCACATCTGAACAACCAGACTAACTAGTCTGGGTCCAAGAACGTGCCAGTTCCCAAAAGTCCTGCTATATATTAGAGGTGTGTTTGCAAACCTCGACTGACAGGATTATCACACGATGCTTTAATTCTAACACTAAAGTGTAAAGATTCCAGATGTTTAAAGCAACTGTTACTTGATCCATTATTAAACAGCTGCCTGCTTGGGAAGTATTTAAATTCTGCAAACAAAGCGGAGAAACCCATCGGTATGGAAATGCTAAACTGCTGTATGTCATGTTCTGCCATTATGGAATAAAGGAATGGAACAGCCTAAGTTGAAGTATGGGGAAGAAAGGGAAAGTGTGACTAGAAGACGAGCAGATTTTAGGAGGAATGAGGATAAGCCCAGGACAGAGGGCACTGACTACCAACTGCACAGTCACCTAAGGACAAAAGCCAACATTCAACACAACTTAAAGTTCACCTCGATTTTGTGGAGGGGTTGATTTGGGGATTTTTTTTTTTTTTTTTTTTCAGCATTTGTCATCTCCAAATCATGATCAGATAGATGAATGTTATCCATCAACATGCCTTTAACAAGCCTGCTTCTAGGATGCTACAGTGGTAACAGTGCCAAGAGCTCTAGGTGTGCTATGCCCCCAGGTACCTGCGCCGAGGGGGAGGACTCCTCCTGCGATAGTCATCCCGGGGACGCCGGCCCCCCTCCCAGCGTTCTGGGGAGAGACA